TCATTGTTTTCTGCGTCATGGCTAGCAGAGTAATTTTCTATACTTGGATGTGTGCTTCGCGAAAAGACTCGGACCAATAATCTCCTTGACGCCATCAACAAACTTGGCACATATATCCATGTCTTCAAGTAGATATGGCTTCAAAAGCGTGGAGATCTTAGCAACTTCCCCAGAAACAGTCTTGGTGGATTCTTCAAGCCTGCCTGCACTAGCAGTTTCCTTCTTCTCAGCAGACGAGTTGGTCGCAACATTGGAGGAAGAAGGTTTTGGCGCCACTTTAGCAGGTAAGAGCACCTTGTCACTCTTCATAGTACCAAGCCTCTCCAAAGGTGAGCCAGACTTAGCTCCAAACAAACGCTTTGGCACAAACCTCGACACCGGAAGCATGGAGGAACTTTTGCGCTGGGCAATCCTTTCAACAATCGAGTTAGCAGCCTTCAGAACAATAGGCGTTATCGGCACAAATCTAGCTGTTCTTTCTTTCTCGCCCTAAGAGGAAGTCAAGTTAATCACAAGCTTAGGAGCAGTCGGTAGACCTTCACGAGCAGTGGAAGAAGTCTTTATTTTCTTCTCAGCAGGCGTCTCCTGGGTAGGGGGGAAGGTCTCTTTTTTCCACTTTCATTTGTAGCAAGCTCCACCACAGTGATAGGACGAGTTAACGCCTCAGCTTTGATTTGTTTTATCTCCTCTCGGAGGCAACCCATCTTTTTCCCTACGAAGAGGGCTAAGCAACCAACGCCATTCACGATACTCGGAAGGGATACCCATAGCAACATGCACTTTTCTCATGTTTGGAGAAGCCTTAGGAATGGAGCCGAATTCCGAATCTACAAAAACAACGGAAGACAATCAGAAAATTAAGGAGTAGCTTGGCACTAAAGCAAAGCAGCCAAGAAGATTAAGCAGCCTGCTTACCAGATATGAAGACCGTTGGTACACGCAGCTCGGGGGAAGAATCAGACTCTCATTCTCCACTTATCTCCAAAGTCTCCTTGGCCCAGTCATGATCTCCCTTGCTTAAGTTATCAAAAAGAAGGAAAAAGTGAACAACTCCCATAAAAATTGGGTAGTTTTCCATGGGCTAAAGTCAATAGGCCCAAAAGAAAAGAAAAAAAAAATCATTTTTCCCCAACACTCGGATTGGACTACAAGTCCAATGGAGAAAAATAAGTGGGTTGCAAGCCCAAAAGCAGCATAGGAAGCCATACTGGGGTTCTATGGTTTTTTTTTGTCTCTTCTGTTTGCTGGGCTTCTAGCTAGCAATGAGTCACAACCCCAAAGTACACTAGGAGGCCTAGAAAACCCTTAATAGGCTGCACAAGAGAAAAAGAAAAAACAAGCCCAAAACTAGGGCCTAAAGAAAAACAGCCCAAACATAGGCTAGGATTAAGTGGAGCCGAGTATAAGAGAAGGCCCAGTAAGCCTCAGATTGGGTTAAGGACTCCCCAGCGAAGGCTAGGTGTACAACCATTGATGAAACCAGGCACGGCAGTGAGTTTCGAGCAAAATCGAATGGGGTTTCGATAAGGAAGGATTCCGAACATCTGAGGAGTGAGAAATTTCGAACTCTGTGGAGATTTCGAAGGAAAACTCGAAGGGCTCTCTTCGAGAATAACGATGTGGGCTTAAGGACGATTTCCAATCGTCAGAATGATTCACAGGTAGACTGCAGGTTGTCAAAGAAAACCGACTTCACCATGTTCTAGTGAAAGATAATGGTGAGGTAGGCTACAGGCCACCTAAACTACTACCCAATCTTAGGGAGAGCATCAGTTTTACAGATTAGGGTTTGGAACAGTTGACAGCTCAGCAGTTCGACTACTTAGCACGATGGCTCAATGCGGTTCCAGCATAAGTTGGGTACTCAAGTAGTGGGCTTTCAGGTCAAGCCAAACAAAAACAGATTTGTCATGTTTCTAGGCCCAACTCAAGTTCTAGGGTTTTTTCTTTCTTTCTTTTTCTTGCTTATTGACACACCCCAACCGAGACCAGGGCATGCTGGCCGTCACGTGGAAGTGACGTAGCCATGTGTACAGTGCGGAAGCTAAAGAAGGTAATATAAAAGTACGAATAATTTAAAAACTAGCATATATAATGTGATAATATAAGTGCTAGCGTAAGTAAGACACTAAATTCAGAGCATAAAGACTATAGCAGTCCAAAGAAAAGATACGACGGTAGTACACCAGAAGGTGACCCTACACTGGTGAGTGTCTGTCAGAAATGCCGAGACGCCCTCCGGGAAAACCACCGAACCTGCTAAGCTACTAGAACCTGGAGGGGTGCAAAACAAAAGCGTGAGTGGGCAAAAACAAAGCTCTTTGAAAACCATTTAGTAAAATACATTCTAACCCCTCGCCGTAAAACCTGTATACTTCCCAGAAATAAATATATATACGTATGTATAAATATGCCAATCATGTTCAAGGGTATGCCAATCATGCTCAAGAATGTGCTATGTCAAAGCCTTATAATGGTATGCAAGGGCTCAGGTATAAATCACATCAATAGCAAAACGTCTGGCAGCCGGAGTCCCTTAAGTGATCTGTACGGCTGAATCTAGAGCTCAAATCTCAATCTCAATCATTAAACCTGCCCACGAGTCGGAACCACCTATAGTGGTCTGTACGACAGGCCTGGGTGTAATACATATAAACACTCTAGTGCTACGGTCACGTGAAGGCTGTGCGAATAATCGCGGGTCACCTACGAGTCGGAACCACCTATAGTGGTCTGTACGACAGGACTGTGCACCTAACTTGGATCCAAGCTGAGCGTATGGTGCGGGAGGTGAACAACACGTGAAGGACTGTGCCCTACTCTGGGCGGGAGCACTAACACCGGGGGTGCAGGTTATGAGCTCTCTAAGCACCTCTAACCACTATTTAATGCAATTGTTAAATAACGCTTACCTGGCACTTACCTGCGCCTCCACAACACCAAATATAAATATGTATATGTATGTCACTACTAATGCATATGATAATGCATAACAATAACGATATGGTGCATGGCATAAAACAAATAACATTTTTTTTTTTTTTTACAATTTCTGGGAATATAAATGTATATAGGTATATACTGTTGGAAATATGCCCTGAAAGTCAATCTTTGGAAGAAACCTTTCAGGACAATGAATTGATGTATATATGACTCTTATACATCGGAAGGCAAAGATACTAATTAGGATTATCTCAATGAACGAAATATGTCCTAAATAGTGAATCCATGGACAATGGATCGATGGAAGAAGTAACCTAATAATGTTAGATTACAGAGACCTTCTTCTCATAACCATCATGTCCAAAAAGGTTCCCGGTCATAAGGATTGTCGGAGGGATACTGACAATCCATAGATTGGTACATACTATGTCCGCTTCAATTGGAAGGATGGAAAGTCTCATCCCATTCGTGTAGCGACACTAAGACAAGCATGTAGGTGCTCATTAAGGGAATGAGTTCACTGAACACAATCGAACGAGAGTACTTGCATGGAGGTCTACTCACATGTCAAGCAAGTAACTCTAATGGTTGGAATAATGTAAGTAATCCTTTGACCTGAGGCATCGTCGTTGTCTTGTGGTTAAGTACTTAATCTTTGATTATGTTAAAGTCATTCCATTCGAGAGTGTCCAAGGCATCGTTGGGGTTAAGCCACTTAGCCATGAAGGCAAGTGAATGCGCAACAAGGAATCTCTAATCCTCGATAAGAGAGGATGAATACTCTAAGATATGATTCGGGAATCTTCGGCCGAAGTATCGAGCGTAATAAAGGAAAGCGTTCCTATACGTCTCAAATGAATCATATAAGAAGGAATAATCACATTAGGGGTTTGACATTATAAATCCATACCCTAGTAATGTGATTGAGAGTATTGTTTTAGAGAAGGATTGAATTATATTGTAATTCCAACTGAATAGGTTCTCCGAATAACTTCTACATTAGCTTGGGTAGCCATGATATATGGTTAGATGTCACTCATGGCTTGTGAGTTCTTCTAGATGATTAAATGTAGTCATTAAAAGGAAGGTGAATTAAAAGTAAGTTTTAATTCACTAAGTGATTGGATAATCAATTGGATTGGTGCCAATCACCTCACTGCCTCGCTAATTAGAACCTAAAAGATTGTTCACCAATACACTCTTGTAGTGAGTAACTAATGGATGAAGGAAATAATTAATTGGATTAATTAAGTGTTTTGATTAATTTAGAAAGTCTAAAGAAATCATAAAAGCGATAAAGATCGTTTTGGGCTTAAAGAAACGTTCGGGTTTAATTAGGCCCATTGGGCCAAAACCCATTGGGCTTTTATTCAAGCATTGGATGACTTGAAATAATTAAAAGCCCAAAGCCCAAACCAAACATCAAAGGCCGGCCAAAGAGAAGGGAGAGAGTGGGTCAATTGTTGACTTGTTTCTTTATGTAATAAAAGGAACATAATAATGAAAGTGTGAGTGAGTGTGTTAGGTGGTTCATAATACACAAAAGAAAATAAAATCATTCTCTCTCAAACTTGAAAGGGCCGGCCACCAAAGGGAATTCTAGCTAATCATCTTATCACCCTTTGGTTAATTCCTTCATCTTTCTCATTACAAAGTGGGTGAGGATCTTTAGAGGTTTTCATATCTTTGGAAACTTGAAGAGGACCTAGGAGCACTCATTCTCAACAAAGTGGAGGAGGCAAGGAGGGAGGCTAGGCTCAAGGAGTTCAAGGAGCAAAGAGCTTGGAGGTGGTCAATCCTTGGTCTTAGATCTAGATCAAGAGGTATAAAACTACTCCTAAACTTTGTTCTTCAATAAATTGTTTTTGATGCATCATATATAAACCTATGCATCTTGAAGGGGATTTGCATGACTATAGCTTTGATAAAATGTATGACATGCTTCCGTTGCTTTCGTATATAAATTTTGAATTGTATATGCATGCTAGTCACTAGAAATCCCAAATAAATCTCATATTTTCCCTTCATATACGGAAAACCAAAAGCCCACTCACTGGTATGTGGAAGGGTCGTAGCCCCCCTGCCTCGCGTGAGCACGCTCGTCCTCGGGATACGTGTCACCTATATGCGAAAACACTATAAAAACGTTAATTTTAAAGCACATAACCTTCCGTTCAAAATAACTTCTCAAACATTGCTCAAAATGGACAATTGAATATACCAACGTGCTCTACACAACCTCAGGATCACAACCATATTTTTAGAAAAATTTTCCACCGCCGCACGCGCCTGCCACGCGCAGGCACGTGCCTGGCAATTTGACGGCGTCAACTGACGCCGTTAGGAATATTCCGTCAAAACTGACAGATTCCGTTAACGGCGTCAGGAATATTCCATCAGAATTGACGGAATATTCCGTCTCCTTCTCCGTTCAATCTCCGGCGCCGTCGCCGGCGCCAGAAACTGGAAAACCTGTAAATTACGTTTTCTCGTTCGTTTTTCCACCATTTTCCATGATTCTTGCACCATTTTAACCCTTAGAACTAGTAGAACACGTCCATATAAGTTTTAAGGACTAAAACTCACGAGAACTCACCTGTCACCAATTACCAAAACCGGTCAAACTCGAACCAGGCTAATCCGACGTCCAATTCCGTCCAACGATGCACTCCCAAGCTCCTTGGGACCTCACCAACACATCTACAAGCTTCAAAATCCTAAAAACTAACTAGATTATTCTTGCATGAACAGTACATGAATCTGCCATTGTAGAATCAACGTGAAAACGGTTACAACCTTACCTGAAAATGGTACGACTGTGCTCCTCACAGCCCCACGAGCTTGATGGTGTACTTGGTTCCCTTGATCTGCAAACGTTTGAGGGGTTTTGGGTGTGGTCCGTACGTATATGGTGAAAAGGAAGGGGAAAGGGAGCACGGGAGAGAGAGAGAGAGTAACAGAAGGTGATGCAGGTATGGGGGTGTGTGTGTGGCCCAAGGACATGCCAGCACAACACCAAAAACAATCAACAAACGTAAAAGAACGAACTAGGGGCAAAATAGTAATTTCACCCGAGAATTTTCGAGATTTTGGGACGGGATGTCACACTTATTCACACATATTCAATTCACATAATTCAACATTATGAATTTACTGCATACACAATTTATGTAGAATTTAAAATTCATAAAAAATAAAGTTGGGTCATGCATTATGGTGCAGGTTCATGCAATCAAGGCTGAAAAAATATCGAGATAAACACCGATGTTTTAGAAGAACCTAGATTGCTTGATGAATATTGTCAGCAGGTTTGTAGAAATATTTCTTTCTTAAATTTTGGCTTTTCCATCTTCAAAGCTTGTATCAGTTCATGACAAGAAAAATAAATTAAATCAATAAAAGTATATAATTTAATAAAATCAAATTTTAATCAACTAAGAGTAATTGAAACATAATACTCCCCTGATTGAAGACGAATAATTTCCACATCAGATTTCTTAGCGCAGTAGAGGAGCGTGCTGATAACGTGTTGTAGCTTATTTAATATGACAAGGGAGAGAGAGAGAGGTGTGAAGCAGAGTAAAAAGACATAGAGAGATGTGTGTGAGTGATGTGTGTTATTCCCCCTATGCAATGCCTTTATTTATAGTAATAAGGGAAGGAAGAATCATTCTCCTCCAAGGAATACAATCCTAATAGGGAAAAATAACTAGTATCAAATCTAATCTATGAATTACCCAATCACACTTTAAGATAATATCTATAACAAGTTTTTGTTTATTGGTTTTGTTTAGTTTCTATTTTATATAAAAAAAATAGAAGTATTTACTAGACAAACTTTAAAAAACTAAACACTCAAATGGTTATCTAACTGTCAATTAAGGTACATGATACACACACACACACACACACACACACACACATACACACCAAAAGCTCTTGGGGTATCAAGAAATAAGTTCCTTGAAGAGAAAGAAACGTAATAAAATTAGTTTACAAATACTTGCGTTACAAGGAATCCTAACTAAGAGGGTATTCTCCCCAACAACGGTCGGGAATAGACAATTTTCGATGGAACACGAACAAGTGATACTTGTATAGTCCCTTGGTGAGAATGTTAGCTGGGTAATCGGCAGATGGTATGTAATGAACTTGATTAGATTGGATCCACTCACAAACAAAATGATTATCAAACTTAATATGTTTAGTGCGGGCATATTTGAATCAACAAATTGGCAGTTACGTAAGTGCTGCTTAGGTTATCAGAATACATAATATTGACATAAACTTGGCAAGATCAGAGAAGACAAACACAGGGTCTAAGAACAAGCACGAGCACGATATTACTCGAACAAATGAAAATGATATGATTAGAGCATCTACAGTAGACTCTACAAATGTGGAGACCAAAATTTGTTAATTCACAAAAATGAGTGGATTTCTCTTGTGGATTGGTCTTCATCTTCTTTCCAACTTTAGACTCTAGATCTCCGTCCCTCCTTGTAATTTAGATGAACTTGAATTCCCTAGTGTTGCTCAAAATCCGTCTAGAATATTGCGATTGCTGGGATTCTTTAAATGATAAGAATAAACGTCACACTGGTCTTACCTGAATGAATTAGTTAGTTGTTAACAGTTTATTAAAGCATGGAAAGATGTTTACCATTTTGATAGGAAAACCTACGCTTTTACGATAAAAAGTTCAATAAAGTGGCGAGTTCTTACAGCCAACATATATAGATCGTACAAGTATTTTGCACAGGAGTTTCTTAGATCTCATAGTACCTACAATGCATATATATATATATATATAGTAGACATTTATTTAATTGTTGATGGTAAAATTAACTAAGCTGTGGGGTAAGAGGCAGCCATAGCAATGCCACAGAGTCCTTCCGCTGCAGCAACATCTCTTTGCATTCTTATGTACCCAGCTTCACCCCATTCTGCACCCCATGAGTTCTTCACTAGCCAATACTTAGTGCCATCCTCACTCACACCATAACCAACAGCGGTAACACCATGGTCAAGGCTCGTTCCACAGGTTCCGGTAAAGACACCACTTGAGTAGAACTGGAAGTCGGAACCACTAGCATCAATGGCAACAGAAACAGGTTGATGAGCTACTGCGGCAAGAAGTGCCTTTTCACTGTTTGCAGGGACATCTTCAAAGCCAGTTATCTTGGCTGCATGGCTGGTTTCCTTCTTGGTGTTACATGTACCATCAACGCCTTCGTAGGGGTAATTAGCCTCTGTGCTAATCCCGTGATTTTGTTGGATGAACTGGAAGGCATCGTCCATCAAGCCGCCCTCACATCCTTGGTCTTCACCAGCAGTGTCACAATCAACGAGCTCTTGCTCAGACAAAGAGATCAATTTCCCAGTTGTAAGCTGTGTAATTCCTTCAGTGGCGGCCACTGCTGAAAAAGCCCAACAACATCCTGTATTTTGATATTGGGATTAAAAGTAGTTAGAATAAGTATCAAATATTCAAACCAGTTAATATAAATAAATAAAAAATAAGCTAGACGTTTAACTAGCTACCGCATTGGCCTTGGTCCTTGATGGGGGTTACTGCTCCTTTCTTTCTCCAATCCATTGTTGCTGGTAATGATGCAGTCACATTTTCATATTTGAAAGAAGTTGTTTTCGTGGAGCACTCGTGTCCCTTGAATCCATTTTTTGAGGCCTTGAACTCTTCATTTGTAAGGTCTGCAAATTGATTGACACTTAATTTGTAAGGTTTGTTTGCATACTTATTAGAAGATTCGATAAATGCCACATTTTCCTTGAATATCTTGAAACGAGTCTCCTTCTCATTAACGTCATTATATACGCGACCATAACGAGTCAACCATTGCTCATATCTCCCGTACATCGGTGCATCTTGTAGAGTGCGAGAAGTGGCTCCGGATGACCAGGTCCCCAGCATGAGGATCAAGCTCAAGCACATATATTTCCACGGCTGCAGATTAATGAACTCCATGTTAGCTGGCTAGCTAGTGTTCTGGAATGAAGCAGCTAAGTGTTGAACTTTTGATGAAGTAAAAGATATGAGCAAGTAATACTGAAATGGTAGACTGCTTGGGAATTTATATACTTGTCCATCCAGGTACTACATAATGGCCTCTCGAGCTCTCGCCGTGCCCCAAAAATTGATCTGCAATACATGTACGTGCCCTGGAATTTATGTTGATATGGACCTGTAAGATTAATATGTTAATCTTTAATATATTTGGGTTTGATGCTAAACCTTTATCTTTTTGTGCGGTAATGGGTCCTTAATTAAACAACGAGGGATAATACTAATACACTTAATTATGGCTTATAATTCAGAAGGCGTTGATTACAGTTTTGTAATCATCGAAGTTCGAAATTTCTTATGTATGGAAAACCCTCGCTTCGATTATTTTGTTGAAAATATGACTTTAGCCTCTCAAACTCAATTTTCTTCGTATAAAATCCGACATAATTTTTTTATTCAAAAGAAATCCAGTGACTAGGAGTAGGATCTACATAAGCGAAATCATTAATTTCATATTACTTTAAACCTTTTAAATTTTTCACACGCGTAAAATACCCCTATTACATATTTGATGTACACAATTAATTGTAAGGAGAGAGTTAATGATTATGCAACAAGAAAAAAAAAAAAGACATTAATGACACACCCTAACCGAGATCAGGGCATGCTGGCCGTCACGTGAAGGTGACATAACCATGTGCACAGTGCGGAAGCTAAGAATAATAATAAAAGTACGAATAAATAAAAACCGAGCTATACACTAAGTAGATAACATACATGTGGAAGCGTAAGTGTGATAAAATAATATTCAAAGCATGGAAGACCTAGTGCAGTCCGGGGGAAACAAACACTAAATAAACACACCCAGAGGTGGTCCTACACTAGTGATAATCTGTCAGATATGCCGAATCCCTCGAGAGCCACCAAAAAAGCTACCAGACTAAAACCTAGAGGGGCGCAAAATAGAAAGCGTGAGTGAGCAAAAACAAAGCTTTTCAAAATCATTTCAATAACAAAAGTTCTAACCCTTCTCCGTAAAACCTGTATAGTTTCCCAGAAAATAGAATATACCCATATATATAAATCATGCTCAGAAATATGCCATGTCGAATGCCTCTAAATAAAATGCAAGTACTCAGGTAATGTCAATCAATGTCATGTAATCTGTCAGCCGGAGTCATCTAACGTGACCTGTACGGTTGAATCTAGAGCTCAAATCCCCCACTCACTAACTATAACTGCACACGAGTCGGAACCACCTAAAGTGGTCTGTACGACAGGACTGGGTGTAAAATAAATACGCTCAAGTGCTACGATCACGTGAAGACTGGGCGAATAATCGCAGGTCACCTACGAGTCGGAACCACCTATAGTGGTCTGTACGACAGGACTGTGCACCTAACTTGGATCTAAGATGAGCGTGTGGTGCGGGAGGTGAACATCACGTGAAGGACTGTGCCCTACTCTAGAGGGGAGTACTAACACCGAGGGTGCAGGTTATGGGCTCTTTATGCATCTCAAATCATTACTAAACACAAACATAAACCATAACTTACCTGCCACTTACCTGTGCGTCCGCAGCACCAAACATATATATATATATATATATATATATATATATATATGCAACTACTAATGCATAATTAAATATGCAAATGCAAAGCATGGCATTTAAAACATATAAAGGTTTAATTTCATTTTCTGGGAAAATCACAAGTATATAGGTATATACGGAAAACCAAAAGCCCACTCACTGGTATGTAGAAGGGTCGTAACCCCCTTGCCTCGAGTGACTGCGCTCGTCCTCGGGATAAGTATCACCTATATGCAAAACAACTATAAAAACGTTAATTTAAAGCATATAACCCAAACTAGGTAAAAACTTCTCATACAATGCTCAAATAGGGTGTATGAATGCACCAACGTGATCTACTCAACCTCACGAACATCCCCATATTTTTAAAATAATTTTCCGACGCCGCACGCGCCCCCACGCACCGGCCAAAGCACGACCACAC